CTGAAACTATTTGCTGAATTGACTAGAATTCACAATTAGTTTTGGTGCCTTGAAAAATGCATTTTTGAAGAAAACTTACAATTTGCTGAATTTTTTTTGCCCTGTTCTGCTTCACAACTGTCTCAAGGACTAAATTAATAGATTGATCTACTTCACATCATAACACCGGAATAGCTCCTCCAGAACAGGTTTGACTAGGGGTTCTATGGATATAGGCAAAGTCTGATGATCACCTCAGTATACTCAGACATGGTTAACCTGAACTTGTGTAGGCTTTTCAGTGTTTGACTGCATAGAAATGGGACTCCAGCTTTCAGCCCTTTCCTGCTTCCCTTTTCTCCATCACAAGAGCTGGCCAGAGTGCCTTGAGGAACCCCAAAATCCCATGCTCCAAATCCTTCAAAATACAGGACTATATAGCACTTTAAAGACTAACAAGATGGTTTATTAGATGATGAGCTTTCGTGGGCCAGACCCACTTCCACTATTTGATCTGAGGAAGTGGGTCTGGCCCACGAAAGCTCATCATCTAATAAACCATCTTGTTAGTCTTTAAAGTGCTGCATAGTCCTGTATTTTGTTTCAGCTACACCAGACTAACATGGCTACATTTCTATCCAAATCCTTCAGTGCATAAAGTAGGCTGTTTGTTGTTTTGATGGAAACCTTGTGCTGAAAGATGGCACACTTTTCGCCATTTTTACTGACACTGGTGTGAGCCAAAGGCTTCAGCACACAAGGACGGCTGGCTTGCTCCTGGCTGACTGTGGGAGAAGGCTGAGAATCTGAGAGAGACCTTTCCTCTTGCACAGCTCATAGGCGCTCCAGGAGCAATATTCTGATACTAGGGAACTGACTGTCCCTGGGGAAAACAGCCCACAGTTCATAGCCAGGAGAGCTGAAAAGAGGAGATCTTGCATGCAGATTTCTGTGCAGGTTGGACCAGATTCCCAGTCATTTGGAACTTTGGTCCAATGATTTTGGTGTCCTCAGGTTTTACAGTCCATAGAAGAGTTCACTTTCTCAGCCTTTCACCTAATATTTTTTGGGGTCCTGACATGCCCACAAAAATGCCTTCGTTGGCAGAAGTGGGCAATGAACTCTGCCAGATACATGATTAAAAAGAATCCTCCATCCAACAGGTGAGGCCCAACGTGTTTGTTTTTAATTGTTCTCCAGGTGCATGTAGCTGTGAGCCTTTTCAAAACCAAACTCTACTTGGACTGTAAGAAAATAGCAGAGAAACCGACCAATGCCATGGGAAGCATCTCCACTGCTGGCTTCATCATGCTAGGAAAACTGACAAGAACCAGAGGTCCCAGGAGTGGGTCAGCAGCTGTAAGTCTGAGGTTTATTAGATTTAGTGAAGAGTCTTGTGTGTCAATTCAGGGTTGGGTGGGATCTAAATCAGAACAGAATTGCTCTCTCCACCCATTGCTCTTGTGTTGAGTTCCTCACCACACCCCTGTGAAGCAAAAAAGTGGGATACCCCTTCTCCACTTTGGAAATGTGGTGAGCATTTTTAATGCACTGTTTCTTGCTCTCTGGCCTATCGTGTGGAATTTGTGATGAGATATAGCACAGCATGAATGTGCCATGTAGCTGACTTCAGCTCATGCCTCGATCCATGAGTGAGCAACTTGCATCACATTTTAACAGTCAGGCCAGAGCTACACTACAGTCGAAGGTCAGCTTAAAGTACAAAATGTAGCTGGAGTCAACATACATTAAGCCAAGCTTTGGTGCCATCCTCAAGCAGGAGGTTGATGGGAGAAACACTCCAGTCAACTTCCCTTACTCCTCATGAGGAGTAGGAGTTCTGGCATCAATATGCATGCCCTCAGCATTCGATTTAATGGGTCTTTACTAGACCCGCTAAATCAAACTCTGGGAGATCGACCACCGCAGCATTAATCTTCTGGGAAGAGAAGACATGGCCTACATGTCTTGGAACCTGAATAAATACAGCTCCTACTCTAGTTGTCAGAAAAAGGCAGGAGGAGTACTTGATTGCTTGTAAAAGAGAGAGATTTCGACATCAGCTCCCGGGGAGGGCAGTGAAGTGATCACGAGGAGAACATGTTCATATGGATACCCTTTGGTCTAAACTTCTCAAAAATGCCCTGTCCCCGGATGACTGCACTTGAGCGACTGTACAACATTCAGTGCAATGACCATAAATTACAACTCTCAAAAAAACCTCTGAATACCAGACTCAGCTGCAAACCAAAGCCCCCTGTTGCCCCACAGGTAAAGGAAAAATTAAACACCTGAAGATCAACGGGCCCATTGCTCTATGAGAAAAGCAAGTGCTAGACACAAAGAACACCTTGAATCTGATTATTTATAGCTTTGCACCTCATGTTGCTATTCACACTGGTGCCAAACATGTGTAAATACATTCCAGTGGCTGATATGGTGATGGCTTAGGCCCTGTGGTCCAGATCCTCAAAGGTATTTAGACACCTGGCTCCTGTTGATTTCACGGGAATGGTTTGTGCAGGTGTGAATGATTACACAGGGTGCAGGGCAAGGTAAATTAGGCACCTGTTCCATTGCCCTCTGACCCGCAGATCTAAGGCTTGCAAGTAAGAACAGTGCAGCTGATTGCCGTATTCCACACCTGAAGGCTGCATTGCACATGCTACCTGCCCCCTGTGTGTTGCATGCAGCCTCAGCTAGTGCCAGGGAGAGGTGACCTCATGCAATGTACTGTGAGAAAATGACCCCAAAGGAATGAGCGATACGATATGAGAACAGCTTCCTACCAAAGCAGGATTCAAGCCGCTCTTATTTTATTTGCCAAAGAAATACTGCCGTGGTTTAGTCTGACAGCAGCCCTGTCAGATCTCTGCCCGGGAGGAAAATATCCTCTCCCACCCCAGTTCTCCCTTTTAGCAGCTTAGTTAGCTGGATCTAGTAAGAGCTACTAATGAACAGCCCAGACCTTCTCTGCTCCCATCATGCTTTAAGCCTAATGAAGCTTCATGTCTTCTGCAGCCTCTGAGAAGACAGAGTGCCTCATTATTGGTTATCATCAAACCTCATTTAAGACATCTCCAAGTGCCAGGTGTTGCCTGGGGCTTATTTGTTATCCATATGCTGCATAGACACACGCGCACACACACACACAACCCTATGGTACTGCTCACACATCATTAAATGCATGGAGGGTGGGAGATTTGACTTGGTAAAAAGGGCATTTTTTTTAAATGTGGGTTTTAAATGCATCTTTCCCCCTTTTTCTTCTGTGGTTTCATGCTGCATTTGCCCTTTTGCTAATCACAATGGAAAGCTCTGGCAGGCTTGGGAGAGGCTGAGTACAAGGGTAGAGTTATTTGGAAGGGGATGGTGGATCCCCCAGAAACATCTGCTGCTTTTATCTTCTATCCCTTTCTTTGAGGGGCAGCAGAGAACGATTGTTTTACATTTTGGTTTGCGTGGAGG